CTCCCCCCTCTCTCTCTCCCTCTCTTTCTCCCCCTCTATCCTGTATCTCTCTCTCTCCCTCTCTCTTGTCTGAGATTAATAACTTGGTCCACTTTTGAGATATAGCCATAATCAAACACCACCATTAGTGTAGTACAAGTGGTTATTTTTTCCCAGCACTGTGATACATATAATGTAATGGTAATCCGTACCTCTTCGATTGTTAAGCCATACCACATTCTAACCCATTCATACTCAAATTTAGGGATTCTATGACATTTGCATCTCTTTTCATTAAGCTCAGTTGCTTGAAGAAAAATATAATACAGGTTCATGCGAAGTCATTCATTTTAACAATGCGGTATTCATTGAATGCAGATAGCGTGTATGATTCGTAATCAGCTAGAACATGATCGAATTCCAAAGACTGTATTTTGGTACACTTTGGCCTCTCTCTCTGGTTCACAGCTCAGTTACCACAGTCTCCTAGCCTTGTTTTGCAAGAACATGAACTCTCGTCATTAATTCGCTCTGTGTCATTTTTCCTACTTTTGTATCCCGTCTTCATATTAATGCAGCCTCATAGGCAGACTATAGTGTGAAAAGTTTGCCAGTCGATACAGAAAATCAATAAATTGCGGGCAAAACTTCCCACAAAACTTCATGTACCTGCTTCAGCTAGAGCAGTCGTAAAATACAGCCAAACTTCTATCAGTTTTCACAGTCCCGACACCAGTTGCTGAAACTACATGTTAGTCATTGGGAATAATTTACTTTCAGTTCTTATACATGTGTGTCTTTGTTTTTTAGTATTAATTTTGGAGGTCCGCTGATATACTTTTTAAATTTCCAATTGAAGGCAAAAGACCCATGATGCAAATCTTATACCACCTTTTGAGTAAGATCTAATGGGGCGTTGCAAGAAAGTAGCGATTGATTGTAAATTACAAAATTTGCAACTCAACTTTATTGCAATGCCCCACTAGTCTCCTAAATCTCCTAGGATTTTGTTAGGATTAAAGTTTTAACACTTAAAGTAAGATAACTAGATCTAGCTGTTATTCTCCCCCTCTCTCCCTCTCTCTCTCTCTCTCTCTCTCTCTCTCTCTTACTAATGGGGCATTGCAAGAAAGTTGATTTGCGATCAATTGCAAATTTGCAATTAATCACAAGACTTACGCTTGATTTGGGAGATTTGCAATTTCTTGCAACGCCCTGTTAGAGTTTTTCTTTGTTAATTTAAAAATCTGCTTGGATCTATTTCAATTAATTTAAACCAGGCTCCATTAAGCCAAAAGCGAACAATCCCTCTGATATTAGGATAAACAATATGGGTTGTGTGCAGACCTGTGGAAGGCTGAAAATGAAAGCTCTGGGATATGTAAGCCAAAACAGGAAAAAGCTGGCCATTGTTTAGGCCAAATCGGTCGGTGAGAAAGAGGAGAAGATATTCTCTGCATGTGGGTTTGTTTGGTAGAGAGATTGGAAGAGAGATTCATGTTACATGGTGTGATATAGGTCTGTACATGATATGGTCTGTTTGGAGCCAGAGGGGCGTTAACTCTGTGTTAAAGTATATGAGTTAACGCCCTTGTAGCTCCAAACAGAGGATTTGCATTGTGGAAGGACAGTACTTGGCTGTCCTTATTGTCATGTGGTCATGCAGTGTAGACGTGTAGGGAGGGTGGGAGGGGCAGATATCCTATATTGCTCAAACTACATGTTGGTCATTCGGAATAATTTCCTTTCAGTTCATATACATGTGTTTTTGTTTCTAGTTTTGCTTTTGGAGGTCCTCTGATATCCTATAAGTGCCCCCCCCCCCCCCCCCCCAAAAAAAAAAAAAAAAAAAAAAAAATTGTTGGTAAAATTATTTGATCTGGTGATGAATTTGTTGTTATTAAACTGATAGTTAGACTGATAATTACTTGAATAAATCATATGAAAGGGGTAGTTGTGAATACTAAACTATTTAGCATCAGGTCAAAAGGGGTTTAAAGTAATTGAAGTAGACTTAACTTCACAATTATACCCTCAATAAGATAGATAGACTGAATCATAGCATCAAATGAATATGAAACCATTAAACATTATATAGATCAAAAGGGTAGTAAAGTCATTGATGAAAATTTACCTACACAACCGTAGTCTCAACAAAACTCCAGATGACCGTATAAACCAGACCAAACAGATAAGAAGATGGGAATATTGTTACCAAGTGTATGCCCATAACTGCCATTAACATCAATATGCTTTGTTATTGATGGTAATAAAAAAAAAGTTTTTTATATGAAATTTATAATTGGAAAATGCAGAGTCCTATGATTGTTCTTAAGCTTGCAGCAGCAAAATTGACCTTTGTTATTCAGAGTTTATCCTTTTGTTGCTGTTCCTCTAAAGCCTAATATTTGTACTTTGCGAAGCTTGAAAAGGAATTTCAAAAATTACATTAGAAAGGAGGTCTCCCTGTAAGAGGTCAAACTTCTGTCTGATATACCCTGTGTATTGGTTTGAGTGGTGTCACCTCAGTCATTTGCATATTGCATGTACTTTACAGGGCAGGAAGTGTACAGTTACCCTTTCAAAGAATATTATTCTACAGACTCTTCATTTGAGTTAGTGATGTAATATATTACCACTCTTTCAGATTGAATAGCCTTTGTATTCTTGTGTTTAATAACAGGCTCTGTTATTTGGCAAGAAAGTTTGTATGGAAAAATGAAGTCACAAGTATAGTCTGTTTTAGTCGGGGGGGGGGGGGGGGGGCGTTGGGCACAAATATGTGTGTTTTTTTAATTGGGAGGGGTGGTACAACTATTTGTCCATTCTAATGAGGAGGCACAAGCTTTTAGTAGGATGGAATGACACAAGTGTCTGTTTTGATCAGGACACAAGTGTATAAGCAATTATATAACTTCAGCTCAATATGGTCAGGTTAAAATTTAAGACCTCAAGTTTATCTATCTGATATTTACTGATCTACAGTAGGCTTGTTAAGTGTAAATTATGTGAGCATGATCTAGCTACTTTAGATTTTCACTGCATTAAACTTATGTGTACATCCTCACTAGCTCCCACGGGCAACAACATTAAGTACAGCACAGTTAGTACACTGCACTACAAGTCAGTTTGGCTCTAGCGTACCTACACCCTGAAGGCTATATACTTGAATAAAATCAGCTTTTGAATCTGTGCAAGTTCAGTCGACTGTGAGCTTGGCATTGTGACAGGAACATATCTCATTCAACCCTCCGAAGAACTTTTGTTCCTCTAAGTTTGATGTGTTGTTTTGATATACACAATGATACCAAGTGGGTCACCTATACAATATATCCTTCGCCAGCGCCTCCACATTTCCCAGATAACTCCATTCGTCGTTTTTTGTTACGTGCTTTTGAAATAATTTTTTTTTCTACTTTTGAATTGATGCATTATTGTGTGTAATCATTCAACTGCATATTGTTGTGGCCTCTGGGTCTTCTGTCTGTGGCGCAGAAAGATCTGCCTTGACATTTACAATAACCGGATATATGGAAAAAATACATTCATACAGTCATTATGGTGTATTTTAATGTTATACTGTAGATTTCACTGAATGTTCTAGATTTCGCTGAATGCACAAAATGCATGAAATATTATACATTGTTGATCGGAAGATGAGAATGATATTGCTGAAAAAGAACTTTAGAAGCTTTTTTACACTTGTCTTCGCAGCGTTTACCTTGCCAAAGTTATAGTGTAATCCAAAAGGGGTGGAGATAGCCCAGCTTCACTTTGGTTAATATTTTTATGCCATATCATTGTATTTAAATGTATTAAAGAAGGGGATAATAAAAATGGTTTTTATAAAAGGAAACAATCAAATAGAATAGTTCAGATTTCTTTTCAATATCATTAATTGTAAATATAATTTTCAGCTCTCTATCCATCATGCCATTTCTTCAGAATTTTTTACTACTGTAAATATATATATACCCAATGCCAAGTAAAATCACCCTTCTTTTATTCATGATTCCTTTCTTATCAATCATGTATTCTATACAGCAAACAGCCCTTGAAACTCTTCTCGATCATATTGGCTCTGCAAAGTTGGCCTTATTTACTTTGGTACTACACAGTTTGCTATAGTATGGGACTGGGTCAGATTTGGGTCCTCGCAGCCCGTATGTGCAGACCTTGGGAGTATTGTTGTGTCGGTCGAGTAGGCCTTAGTTTTGTTGTTTGATTAGCGGTTCGTACAATATATTTGTACTTGACGTGGCTGCTCATTGAAAAACGAAATCAAGCAATCAAGCATATGGTTCATGTTGAGAATGCTGTATACATGCAACACATAAGTTATGATTTCTCTCAGACTGTTGTGGTGTAGAGAGAGAGATCAAACTAAAGATGATGAGAAATTGTGGTTATGTTTCTGTCCCTCTCTGTTCTATTCCCCTCTCTCTCTCTCTCTCTCTCTCCTCCTCTCCTCTCTCATTTTCTCTCCCTTTTAGAATGTAAATCAAATGATGATCACAAAAGTATATTGAATCGTCATGCTCAATCTGTTATGTAGTATACTCATAAAACCCCACCATCATTGCATACAATACACCATTTAGAAGGGGAAAAAAGTACAAATTTAAAGGCAGCTTCATTTCCTAGATTCATATTTTTAAACAAAATACTTTCAAAAGGACAACCAGATTTTGAGTTATTACATTTTCAGCTCATATTTCTATGATATTGTGTTGAAATGTCTCCAAAATATTTTTTTTATCTGCCTTTTAAGCTACCTGTGTTCTTTTGTCTCAGTTAAGTGTCAGGCACTTTAAATAACTTCATTTGTGCCAAAATGTGAATCAAATCTATGGTGCAATTCAGTTGATATGTATGCTGGCTCATTGACCTAGAGTTAATATCACATTCTAATGCAACAAAAGAATATGTATTTTCCTAAAAAAAAAGTAAATATGGAAGACAGCACTTGTTTACGATAAGACACAGGAACATGGACAATTCTTCTTCTTGCTCTCCCACAGAACCTGACCTCAATGGACAGCCCTCACAGTGCTCCATCTGCGGCGACAGGGCGACGGGGAAGCACTACGGAGCGGCGAGCTGCGACGGATGCAAGGGATTCTTCCGCAGGAGTGTGCGCAAGAACCACCAGTACACCTGTCGCTTCTGCAGGGGCTGCGTGGTGGACAAGGACAAGAGGAACCAATGCAGATACTGCAGATTAAAGAAGTGCTTCAGAGCTGGCATGAAGAAAGAAGGTACTAAATAGCAAATGAATCAAGCTCTCGGGCTATGTCCATTATAACTGTACTCAATCTGAGACTTAATATAAAGTTGCATTTAATTTAAAAGCAACTCAAAACTTAATAGAAGTCCAAAATATGTTATCATGATTGGTTGAAAGTCAAGATGACTTTGATTTGTGGAAAAATATTTAAATACACCTCGTCATACGATAGTTGTCTGAATTACAGGTAGAGTGGAAAGTGAGCTCAATGTTTCAGATAAAACTGCATTGAGCATAAAAGCAATTCATCTTGTTTGTACTTTATTTTTGCATATCTTGGTCAAGAATATGATGTTGACAGAATACATTTACAAAAATTTGTTCAAAAAATTTACAAAATAGCAGAAGTAACTGTTGATTGACATTCAGACTCATAATTTCCAAGTTTCATTTTCTCAAAAAGGATGAGATTAGACATTAGTCAAGATGCTACATTATGATTTGACTGATCTAAGTAGCTTGTTCTTCCACTCCAGCTGTTCAGAACGAGCGGGTTGTGAGATTAGACATTAGTCAAGACGATACTTTATGATTTGACTGATCTAAGTAGCTTGTTCTTCCACTCCAGCTGTTCAGAATGAGCGGGACCGCATCAGTACTAGGAGACCAAGCTATGAGGATAGTCTTCAGAATGGAGGAGTCTCTATCCCGCAGCTCGTCAACGCAGAACACATGTCAAGACAAGTCGTAAGACCCTTTTTTCTTACTTTCTGCTCCTTTTAAAATATGAATGGGCATCTTAATAAGATATTCGGGTAAAAAAAAAAAGTATTTAGTCAAACTGTACCATGCTATTGCTTTCATATGATCAAAATACATTTGTAACTCCTTAAGCAAAGGATCATTTGGATAATAAATTACGATTTTGTTTTTCGGTTTATTGATGTTTTTCTTTCTTATGTCTGTTACATGTCCTTTTCTCAAAGCGCCATGAGCACCGAAAGGTGGACCTGTGCACTATACAAGTAGCCACTATTGTTATTATTTATTATTATAGCATCAGTTAAGAAGTACTGCAAGCTTCTATTAACTTGATGAAACTATGACCGGGTTGGGGGGAATGTGTTCACTGTTGCTCATAAAATTGGAATGATTTTCCTGATCTTTTCTCATGAAATGATCGTGACAATGTGATTTATTCTTGACGGACAAAGTTATGTATTCTCAGAAAATTATTGATCAATCAAAAGAGTCGGAGATCGATCAATAAAGTTCTGAGAAGATATAAACTCTACCTATCAAGAATAAACATCATTGTGACAATCATTTCATGGAAAGAGGTTAGGGAAATTATTCCAACTTTATAGGCAACAGTGTAAATTAGAAATTTAGATTTGAAATTTTCCACAATGAGTTTCCAATACCAATATTAAGTATATAATCTACTTTTGTGGTTACTGTAAACCATCAGTGTAGAAGGGAAAACCGAAACAGCTCTGCATCAGGGTGTAACCATTTGTAACTCAGGCACTGATTGGGTGTACTGTTCTGAAGTCCTACCTGTATTGATCATTGCCATCATTTCTTTTCTCTCAATTTCTTCTAGATCCCCAATCCTGTAAACCTCCCGGACGGTAGCATAGCAGGCAAGAAGATAGCCACAATGAACGATGTGTGTGAGAGTATGAAGCAGCATCTCTTGGTTCTTGTAGAGTGGGCCAAGTACATCCCGAGCTTCTGTGATCTGCCTCTTGATGATCAGGTAGGTAACCAAACAAAGAATATGATCAAATTATTTTGTAGAGGTGTCGTGGTCGAGTGGATACGTCGCCGGACTGTCGATCACAAGGTCCTTTGTTTGAGTCCTGCCGCGGCACTAATGTCCTTTGGCAAGACATTGATCTACATTTGCCACACTGAACCCAGGTGATGTAAATGGGTACCTGGCAGGAATTAATTCCTTGAAATGCTGGAGCACTGTAATGGCAGCTAGGCTAAAGCCGGGGTAATAATAAATGCGCCTCGAAATAGAATTTCTAGATAGACGGCGCTATAGAAAGCCTATTATTATTATAATTATTATTATTATTGAATAATAGTTTTAACTTTTACAAAGAAAGTGAGTTATTTTTGAAGAATTTGTTGGACATGAATAACCATGAGGCCAGAAATATTGTGAGAGAGTGAGTAGCTTGTTGCATTCTCTATCATGTGTAGAATTTTGTGCAATCGAAACCGGAGATTTAGCAGGGCCTATTATCTACTAGGGATCCAGTACCCCCCCCCCCCCCCAAAAAAAAAAAATATATATATATATATACACACACAGGGCTCCTTTGCAATTAGTCCCAACAGTTACATACAGAAACCCTTTATAAATTTGGTACTGTTGTGAGTAGTTTTTCAATTGAAAATCAGCTCTATTTCTTGTTCCAGTAAGGCATCTAGATAATTCAGTTTGTTTCAAACTGTCTTTCGAGCTTAAATAGTTTGAATTTATTATGTATTTACAAAAGATTTTCATGAAAATAGAACATGGACAAAAAATGTCATTTTTAATCTACATGTAAATAAAAAACAACACCTACTGTTTCTTAATCCTATCTTACCGTTTTCTCATCCCTTCTAATCATGTCTTTGTAGGTTGCCCTTTTACGAGCTCATGCCGGTGAGCATCTTGTCCTTGGGGCTGCACGGCGGTCTCTACCCTACAAGGACATCCTGGTGCTAGGACCCGACGTGATTCTTCCTAGGCATTCCCAGGACCAGATGGATATCCACAGAGTGGCAAGTCGTGTCCTTGATGAGCTGATCGCGCCCATGAGGGACGTGTCTCTGGATGATCATGAGTTTGCCTGCCTCAAAGCGATTGTCTTCTTTGACCCAGGTAGGTGTACAGACATTGATTGTCTTCTTTGACCCGGGTATAGGTGTACAGACATCGATCCGACCGTCGCTTTGGCGATCTTTGCTCTGGTGACATTTGCTCTGGACTTTATTTTTGGTCAAAGCTAAAATGTCAGGACTTGGGTTGCATTTAGGTTGTATGTTAGGTTCAGAGATTGGGTTATGGTTAGATACATGTACAGTGTTGGGACCTGGTTTGTATTTAGGAGGCAAAGTCAATCAGTTTTTATATGTACTAATTAATACTGCATTTATTATAGTGAATAGAGTATGTATAGCACCTTTGCCTCTGCATATCAAGCGCTTTGAGATGTCATCCTTAGGTCAGCGTTCAAGCTAGATGTATGGAGTTATCAGGTGGTTCTTTTCAGGTATCATTGATGTCACCAGAACAACAGAAATGATAGATTCTGAATGTACACGTCTAGCGAGAGGTGACTGACTATGTCATATCCTTTTTCTTCAGATGCCAAGGGTCTGAGTGAACCGAACCGTATCAAGATGCTTCGCTACCAGGTCCAGATACACCTGGAAGACTACATCAATGACAGGCAGTACGACAGCAGAGGGCGCTTCGGTGAGATCCTTCTCATGCTGCCTCCTCTACAGAGTATCACATGGCAGATGATTGAACAGATTCAGTTCGCCCGTCTCATGGGCGTCGCCAAAGTGGACAACCTCCTGCAGGAGATGCTGCTTGGAGGTAGGTGGAATAAAAAGGGAAATTTGTTGTTGGACCCTGACAGTTCTGTAGAGGGTTATATTGTCCAGAATGTAACTTTGTTTTAATTTGATATTTTGTGGGGAAAAAAATAAAAATCATGGTGTTAAATGGGTACCCGGTAGGATGCGACGGTCATTGTTGGTCAAACAGTTTTTGAGCGGCAAGTAACGCCAGACTGGAATGCTCCCCAGGGAGAGGAGATTGTGCACACAGTGTGTGCGGGCAAGCACTGAATCCAATAACCGAGGTAACAGTATATTTGTAAAGCGCTTAGAGACATTTGTATTAAGCGCTATATAAAAGCTAAATATTACTATTTAAGAAGTGTGATGCTATATATCAAAAGACAATATTTTCTAGAAGAAGAAATGTTTGATAAAGTTGCTAGAGTTGAAAACTTGTCTCATAAATAATATTTGTGATACATTTTAGCACATGTCTGTAAACTTAAGTTCAGATGTTTTGTAGATTTGAAGAGAAATGTGCCTCAATTTATTATTTTTTTTTATTTGAAAGGATCAACACACATTTGTTATGTTAGATTACAGCATGATCATGAGCTATTTCATTTTATGGACACATTCTATTGTTTTCTCTCTTGTACACCATATTACAAAAGGGGGGAGGATTACAAATATAAAATGATGTATTCTTTTTTCTTCATCATGGACACATGAATAAGATGAACATATTGGATATAACCATCAGCCACTTCTTAGATTCTAAATTCACATTGAAATGTAACTTATGTCTCTTTAGGTTCTGCCAATGACCCCTCCCAGCAACACGTTCCACCCAGCATGCCGGGTATGACTGCTCACCCCCCTCCGACCCCGCCCGGCGACCAACATAGCCTTAATGGTCATCTCATGCATGCTGCTGCACACGGTAGCGTTCCTCATCTCTCACAGTCCTCAGCTGCTACAGCTCAGGTAGGGAAGGGAGATACATGGGGGGAGGGATTAGTGGTGGTGGTGGTGGTGGTGATGGTGAGGTGGTAAGATGGTGGTGGTACTGGTGGTTGTCTGATGCATCCTGTTGCTTACATTATTGCTCCTCATCTTACAAGACCTGTACTAAGGCTCAGATATGGAAGGGAGTGATTTGGGGAGGGGGTGATGGCGGTAGTACTGGTGGTCATCTCATGTATGCTGTTGCATATAGTATTGCCCCTCATCTTACTCAAACCTCTACTACAGCTCTCATATGGAACGGAGTGATTTGGGGAGGGGGAGGGGGTGAGGGCGGTAGTACCGTTGGTCATCTCATGTATGCTGTACCATTCGGTATTGCCCCTCATCTTACTCGGACCTCTACTACAGCTCTGATATGGAAGGGAGTGATTTGGGGAGGGGGGAGGGGTGATGGCGGTGGTACCGGTGGTCGTCTCATGCATGCTGTTGCATGCAGTACTGCGCCCCTAAACTTACTCAAACCTCTATTACAGCTCTGATATAGGAGGGAGTGATTTGGGGAGGGGGGTGATACCAGTGGTGGTAACGATGGTCATTGTGATGATGATAGTAAAGAAGATGTTGGTATCTGTGGTACTGAGTGGGGTGACTTAGGGTGATGATTGTAATGATGACTATGAGGTTAAGCATGGTGTTGGTGGTGGTGGTGGTGGTGGTGGTGGTGGTGGTGGTGATGGTGGTGGTGTTGGTGGTGGTGGTGGTGGTGGTGGTGGTGGTGGTGGTGGTGGTAATGATGATAACGCTCAGAGGTGGAGATATGATAATCAGTGATAGTAGTCATGATAATGGTGAAGATGGGTGGTTTGTGGTGCATGGTTAATGTTGAGGATAATAATGGTGTAGTAATGATGGTCATGTCGTGTTATTGGTGGTGGTGGTGATAATGAAGATAGTCATGAGTATGGTGATTTCATGGTGATCGTGGTCAAAGCAGTAATGATAGCAGTGGTGCTAATGATGTGATCATGGTTGTAGCTATGCAATTACTCATATTACATGAATCAGAGATGCTTGGTATAATATAGAGCAGATACTACCCTATTCAATTATCATGTGATGTTAATGATTTCAATTCAGTCAGACAACAAGTTATGATGAGGGTGATGCGATGAAAGAGTACAGTGAGGCCTATTGATGATGTTGATAAACCACAAATTAAAGCAGAAGCTGAATTAATAATAGATCATTAGTTTTGCTAGATCCAAACAGGAATAATCCATATACCCTCTCTCAATGCAAAAACAATTAATTGCAATATCCCTTTTTGTTCTCACTTCTTACCAACAGGTGATAGCAGACTTCAAACTGCAGCAAGCCAGCCAGGCCGCTGTGACTGTCCCCCAGACCCATATAGTAACCCATCCTCCAGCCACAGCCACTGCCGGTCCTCCAGCCCCCGCTGCTGTTGCCGTGACCGTGCCCATCCCCAAGCAAGAGAGGAACCAAATCAATGCCATGCTCAAGGAGGAGGTGGTATAATGCCGAGATGAAGGGGGCAACGCCCATCTTTTTCTTCTCTTCTCCATCTCTGATTTTCGTCTCCGTCTGCATCCAAAGTACTACTGGTGAAAAGTTTGTATTACGAAAAGAGTACTTTGCTCTTAAAACACTTTTCACACTACATTCCACTTTCAGGAGGAAGTTGATCCAAGATGGAGTACCATCATCCAGTTCAGTCTTCTTTTTTCCTCTGTCTGCATCTTTGGTACTACCAGTAGAAAGTTGGTATAAAGTCATTGTTCATGCGATGCATGTACACAACGTTCCACTGTGGAGGTGGTGTAAAATTAAGAAGCGTCATCCATCTCAGTTTTGTTTTTCTCCTCTGTCTTCACCCACGGAACTACTGGTGGAATGTGTGAACTTTATAAAGTAATTTGCTCTTTATACACACTTTGTACCTCGCATTCCACTTTCAAGAGAAGGTTCTATCAGATTGAGAGGCATCTTTCATCCTCATCTGCATTTAAAGAACTACCGGTAGACAATTGGTATAATTTCATTGTCCTTCTAACCTACTGTACAGCAAATTCCTCTCTCAAGACCAAGACTGAGAGGCATCATCCATTGCGGCCTTCTTTTCTTCATCTGCATCCATAGTACTACCCGCAGAGAGTTGGTATCAAGTCTCTGCTGTTACAACACGATGTACAGAACATTTCACTTTAAAACATCGTTGTTGAATAATAGAGTGGCATCATTGGTTTCAAAGAAGAGGTGACAAGTTATTTCTTTTCAGTATGGAATATCTTCTGTGAAGATACTCTTTGACTATCAATTCTGAGATTGCTCCTCGGGATGATTTAGGCTCCCATGGTGATTTCCATTTTCAGTTATTGCTTTAAATTGTTTTCATTGGTCTTGAGATGGCTTTTGATGTTAATGTTGTGTTCTTTGGTCCTTTCCCATAGGGATATGGCAATTGAGAATTGACTAATTAGGTATGAATGGACAGTGTTCTATAAGAATAATTTGATAATTTATATCCATCATGCAAGGTGTTCAAGGCTCTCCAATATTACCCCAGCTCAACTAGGCTACCGATTACTGTGCTCACAGCATTCAAGGAATTCCTTCCTACCGGTACCCATTTAACACCCGGGTGAGAGTGGCAAACGTAGATTAATGTCTTGTCAAAGCACATTAGTACAAACATAGGAGCTTGACCCACTGGCATTGACACAGGAAACATGTTGTACATATACACTGAACATCATACTAAACCAATGAAGTTAACATCAAGTGATTATCTAGTTATTTGAGGGATGTGATATCTCAGTATCGAAAGACATGGTCCAATAAATAATATAGACATGAGCAATAATTGAAATACATGTGCCAAGGTTTTCTCCTTTTCTGAACCTCTGTTGAAAACAGATATGAAAAACAATGAGAAAGGAAAAATAATTGATTTCCTGGAGTGTGAGATTCTTCTATATCTTATCTTTACTTTATATATCAGTCCACACTGCCAAACACCTGTAGATGTTCTTGGAATACTTTCTTAATCGAAAGTTCAAAGAGTTATTTGACATGACTAATTATCATCACCCAAAGAGATGGAAACGGAAACGCTAAATGTTAGACATACACGTAGTTAATGTATGTCCACAGGAGTAGACGAAAGCTTGCCTCCTAAATTTTAAGGTTGGTAAAAGCTTAAGCTACATGTTATGATAACCCTAACCAATGAGAGTTTTTCTGTATCAGTTTGGGAACTTTTAGGTATTCTGCAAGAATGATCAAGGAGCACACTTGTATAAAAGATGAAATGCAGTTGCGGTCATATATAACTTAAAATAAAAAATTTACTATTGATCAAAGGAGCTCTAGAGTAACAATGAAAACAAAGATGGGTTGAACAGTGCTCTGTATGAAATTTATCTCTTTATATATATATATATATATATATATATATATGAATATATATATTGTGTTTGATGGCATATAATGTATATATGTTCACACAAAAAAAGGTTGATAGAACATGCATATAAAGACAGGATGAATTGTTTTTTTGTTATTCCACTTTGGCACATGAAATTTCAGAGGAGATTTGAATATACTATTAGAAAATTAGTTCTCAGCAGTTTGGTTCAGCCTGCAAAGGTGATTTGATCTCCCTCCCAGCCCAGCCCAGCCCACCTCTCTCTCTCTCTCTCTCTCTCTCTCTCTCTCTCTCTGTCTCTCTTCCTCTCCCTCCCTCTCTCCCTCCATACCCCCATGTATGATTTTCCCATTAACACTCTCCATCTCCTTACTCTTTTTTAATAGTGCATTTTTGCAATAGCACCATGCAATTCCAAAACAAATCAACGATAGCCTTGTAAATACCATTAGTAATAATTAAGTAATAGGACATTCCTTTCTGAATTCATTTTGTAAAGAGAAGAAGTATTCAAGAAGCCAGGTTACATACATCTGTTTATTTTTTTCATTTATTTTTTCATTTGCACATCTTTTTCCACACATACACACATTGACAAATAGAATCAACTGTAATTAGCATACGGTAGTATCACACTTGTATTCAGTATTTCAAGAAGCAAATTACACCATTTATTTTGTTGTTGTTATAAAGAAAAATACTTTATGTTCATCTGTACTTAATATGACTACGTTTGCAAGGGATAGGACCAAAATGAAATTGATCAAAAGTTGTTCCAAATTTGTTATTAAGAGAAATTTCTATTTGGTGGATTTGACCATTGTTGAAATAAAACAGTTCAATATCATTAACCAAAAGTGCTTTTTGTACCCTTAAACAAAAAACATATATAATAACTTGATAAGAAGTGCCTGATTTCTTTGGAAATGATTCCTTTGTATACAGATGCTAATGCCAAAAACTTTTATATAAATAGGATATATACAGTGCTTTCAAATCCAAATTTTGAAATTTATATGACATATTGTATTATAATGTGAAAACAGTTTCTGAAATCAGGTGAATTTTTATCTTCTGTTCTTAACATACGGCATATGCAGAGCTTTTGAATGAAAGATGTGAGCCATTTTTTTATCAGATTCTGGAAACAAATCATACCAGTAGCCACAATAGACATATGTAGAGAATGACTTCATGTCAGGTCATGATTTCCTTACATGTTCTTACACTCAAAATCATTAATTGTCTTTAATTCTTACCACTGGTGACCTTAAGATTACAGATTTGCGATCACATTTAGTATTTTAAATGGCGAAAAAGTCTTGAAGACCTGAAATGGCAAAATTTGTTAGCATCGATGTTTATTTGCTCCTTTTAACAGTACTTTGAAAGAGCTTCACCACACACAAAAAAAAACTTCCAGTAATGATGTTTTAGTACTGCATGGCTCAGTACCTCTTTCATATTGTAATTATGAAGTACTAGAATTTTATCATTCTTATGGTACTTCGCAAAACTATATATAACGGATTTGTATTTTGATGTTTACTTGTTATTAAACAACTCAATGATGTAAAATGTCTGCTTTGGATATTGTATATAGCAAAAGTGATGAATATACTTTTATTTCAGAGTATATAGATGTATTATACTGTTATTGTATGTATCTGTGATTTTTCGCCAAATTAATGACATCTCTCCAATTTACCATTTATGCAATCAATATTTGAGCTACTTCCATTTGTAATTACTAATCGAGTTTGTGATCGAATCGGTTTCATAGACAATCATATTGATTCTTTGGGAAATGAATATATGTGTCAACAAATTTATATATGTATATGTATATATTCTTATTTTAGTTATAATCATTCGTCTTTCATGTAGGTATGGAGACTTTGACGAACTACATTTAATAGATTTCATATGGATACGACATATTTTATATACTGTATATAAAGATATATTTCATTGAATTTTCATGTTAAGGTAGTCTGTTTTTCAACCAGAAAAAATAACATTGATTTCCAATTGTATATTCTCTTGCTGCGTAGTATCCTATTTTTTTCCAAACAAGTGATATTTGAAATGAAATTGAGTTTGCAGAGTGTAAATAGAACATGATCTAGAGTGACATAAATCTTGTGCCTGAAACTAGGTCAAAAATCATTGATTTGCTGCATAATAGTTTTTAGAAATAATTTTCATATCTTTCATTTACTGTAATCATTGCTCTAATTGTTTGGTTGTTTTGTTTTGTGCATTTGTCATTTTAAGTTGTGATGATAAGATGTTGCCCTTCGTGATGAACATATTTTAGGTTCTCAGTATTGCTGTTTTACTTTATCTGGTAAGGAGGAGATACAGATGATATTCAGCCCTTTAAACAGAAGTCATTCATTAATACTTTATTTATACAGCTTACCTCTATAAGTGTTACTTCCAAAACATGTGCATGTATTTAGCATGCTTTGAAAACAGCTCATGCTATGCTTCATTTTATTTGAACACGTTTATATATACCCAATTAGCTTTTAGCCCTTGTAAGAACTCTTACAGGTTTTGTTTTGCCATTAAAACAGCAAATGCATATGGCATTTTTGTTTTGTTTTGATAAAAAAACATTTTCTCTGGGTTACATTTATATATATCTGTATTCATAAACAGACTTATTTGTCTGTGACTCACGTTCTTTACCGAAATCCAGGGGCGAACGTAAAATATCACCAAGTACCGGTTTAATTTATACAGAGGTGGCATGTTATCTAATAATTTGTTGGTTTCTGTGAAAAAAGGCAGTTTTAACATAATTTTTTACATTTAAACTTTCATAAGGATAACAAATTTGTTTTAACTATCCCTTAATTTTGCTATGCCCTTTGAAAGGTGTTTCTATTTTCAGAACAGTTACATATTATATATCGTAAGTTACATGACTATTCAGGTTTTAAAAGGCTTCTTAGAGAAATGTGGTTTATAGAAATAGACCTGATGTGGAATGTCGTGGTTAACTGGTCATGTTTATATTTGGAGTTAAATCTTATTATATCAACGCGAGGTAACGCTGCTGTAAAGAAGTTAAGAATATGATGTTATACATATTCATGCAAATACAGTGTATGTTTAACCAGTGTTTATTAGATATAAATTCATCTTAACATTTGTATTTTATCGAAACCATCATGTAATTAGCATACTGATGCCAGAAAGCACTTTTATTCCTATTTGCTGTGCGTAATGTAGTTTACAATCCCAGGCAACTCATTAAAGTGTACAAAGTTTATTTTACATTACAAACTTGCCTTTATTTTGGACAATTATGTTCATATAAACAATGCTATATCCTGCTCGCTATAGTATATAGGTAAATATACATACAAATGCTTTTTTTTTGTTCTTGATTATTTTGGTTGTGACTAAATGAAAATTTTATTGAATATTCATTGTATCTGGCTCACCAGAAAGTGCCATGTCATCATGTACTGTGCCCAACCAACTAGGTGCCATTTGTATATTAAAGAATGAGTATTTTCTTGTGTCTTCATGAAGAAAAAAAAAAAGAGTCAAACTTA